TTTTCTACTTTCTTTTTGATTGGTATGTGTGTTAAGCTATATCCACATGACAAAGAGAGCCAGCTGCCCAGACTGTGTGTATGTGTTTGTTATGTGTGCATGTGTATCACTCTCAGTTTGGACACACTCACTTGCAGGAGTCTCACAAAAATACGTATAGCTTGAGACCTGCTTCCCCTAATAGCATACAAAACTATATAATGTTATAGATACATATTAGTTGAATAGACAGATAATGTGACATTTTGCTAAGGTAGGAGGATCAACAGACAGCATGATACAGAAAAAATATATGTAGATAGAATGGCTGACTGATTAAATTACTGATACCAAAAAGTCTGAAAAGGTATACACCAAAATGTCAACAATGCCATGTTTCTGCCTGATGCAGCCATTCCTCCATCATCCTAGTTCTGTTTCATACATGGATCCTCTTATACATCCCATAGTTGTTCCAATCTCATGATTTTGTTAAAATGGTTCTTTATATCCAGTGTACTATGCTATTGGCACCTGTTTTTCTTAAATGGTCTTCAATATACCTAGGAAATTCTGGAACTTTATAGTGATAACTATTGTTTGTTAAACTTTTACCATGTTCCAACAATTGAACCACTTATTTGAAATAATGAATTTATCTATTCATTACAGCTACCCACTGAGGTCGGTGCTGATATTATAGACTTCATTTTTATGCAAACGAGTGAACTGAGGTTCAGAGAAGTTAAATAACTCTAGGTTGTAAGAACGGTGACAGGATTTGAGCCAACGTATTTCTGATTTCAAAGTGCATGCATTGTTTAACCTGTACAGTGATCATTCTTCCCTTTTCTTTCCGTCAGTCTATTACCCTAGAATGGCTTTCTTCTTTCTGTATACTCTCTCCATGTGCTTATAGTAATGTGACTAATGTGTTATATACAGTAACGGTGTTAGGCAAAAAGAAAGCAACTTATATTATAGAATGAATATTACCTGTAAAAGTCCCCACCATTAAATAGATGTCACTAATCCATATTCTTTCCTGAGCTACAGTATCATGTAGTAAAAAGCCTGGGGGCGCATGTAGAAAAAAGATGTTTGTTAATCATCTATGTTACTATGAACCAGACACTGTGCAGGTGTGGGTATGTAATCTAGGTAAGATCAGAGTGGTCTTTTCACTCATGGAGCTCACAGTTGGGTGGCTGTCTATGTTTCGCCCACCTATGTTTTACATGTATTTTGATAGCACTCATTATATATCTCTATTATAGTAACTCATATGTTACAATAGACATTAATTCATTTGTGAATTTTTTGGAGGACAGCAACAATGCCTTATCCAGCTTTGTTTACTCTCAAAGCCTAACATAATGTTTGATACAAGGATCTATTCAATACATAAGTATTGATATTTTTACATTCTCCAGCCAAAGCATCTAAGACGATAAAAGATCATATCACAGGCATGGATACTGTCAGTGTAGCCAATCTCCCTCACATCCCCAGCTTTGGGTACAAAATGAGGCTATGTGACTTTTAACAACAAAATTAATATGACTTCAAGCCTCCATTTTGCCACTCTGAAAAAGCCCTTGTTGAATTCCTGAGGCGTGACCTTCCAGAAAAATATATCTTCTTGTTATCACTTTATACCAATTGTCTTCAAACAGGCAACTACCGAACTCCCTACGGCTGTGGAGTCTCAGTCAATGCACAGCAGGTTTCTAATTCTCCAAACACAGCTGTGGCTGTTATCAATACATTGCCAAGACAGCGGCCAGAGCATCAGTACTGGTGACACCAAGACATCACAATAGCGCATGAGTCATCCAAGCACTTCACAGGAGGTGGGAAGTAGAATCTTCTATTTCACCCATCGATGCTATTTCTCTCCATTTCTGCAACAATTTCACTATGGTTCAGTGGAAGAAAAGTAGAGACAGCTGCTCCTCTCAGCATGCAATTCAGCAATGAGCACCCCATGCCATCAGCCTCAGATCCCTCAGCTCTCCTCAATTAGATATTGATAATCAACCAGTCATCCAACACATGCCAAGGAGCCAACAGCTGAGTCGGAGAGTGAAGGAATTTAGAAATGACTGTAGTTAAAGAAAACTTTCATGAAATTTCATCTCTTTCTCTTTAAAAAATATCTAGTTCCCATAGACTCAACACTGCACACAACTCTAGGGATTTTGGTAAAGTGTCCCCCAATTTTGCCAGAATATATAATGTAATTCTCCCTGGATAAGTTTTTCCTCATGAATTGCAAAAAAAAGAAATCCTTTGGATAAATTTAACCACAAATATTCACCCACAGAAGGGTCTGTGTTTGAGTAATTAGGTTAACTGTGTTCAGACTAGCTTTTTGTTACATGAAAGAGGATATCGTGTATCTCTTTAAAACTATTATAAAAAAAACTATTACAAAATTTTCAAAGTATAATGTATTTTAACTTTTTACATTATTATGTGTTAACTCTTCTGATTATAAAGGTAATACATGTTCAATATAAAAAAATGTGGAAAATAGAAAAAAGCAAAACAATGTAAAATTATTCATGATCTTACAACTTAAAGATAACAACTCAAACTCTTGATGTATTCCTTTCCCACCTATAAGGTTAACTACCACCAATACTAACATTTTCCTACTGCTCTAATAAACTGTTAGGGTAGGATAGACAGGTTTTATTTCTAAGAGCATTTGAAGAGCTTCCTGGAATTAATGGGAGGATGTATCCTAAGGGAGGAAGGAACTTCAACCAACTAGTTCTACTAACAGAGCCAGTGATCAGCAGAGAGAGAGAGACACCAGGTCTGGCATAAAGGTACAGTCAGATTGTCTTATGGTCCAGCGTCAGTGGACTTCCAGGGAGCAGGATGCTACAAATGAATGACAGAAGACGACCTTGTCCAAGATCTCAGGAAGGTATTGGGGATTCAAGGCTATTCTGTTTTGATTTCTTTCTAGTTGAGAGCAACACAATAAGGCATTCTCTTCATTTCAGCAAGAACAGGTATAGCTGTGGCATATGCCTTTGGTAGTGATGGTTCCAGAACCACTGAGAAGCACTGATACCTCAGCAGCACAGGGTACTCCAGACAATAAAAAAGAGGCCTTTGTGGGTAGGAACAGTGTCCTATTGGGGAGAGAAGGAAAGAATCAGAGAAATATAGAGCTTGCACAGACTGTCAAAATACATGATGTCTATTGATATAATAGTAAGAAAAAAGTATTTTTACTCTCCTCTTAGGAAGAGCCATTTTGATTATAGAAGGGCAACCCAGGGCATGCTACTAACAACTAAGAAAATAAGAGAATGCTAAATTGCTTTGCATTACAAAGAATTTAGAATTGCCTACACATATCTATAGAAAAATAAGAGCTGTTCAGAGAAGGGCAATGATGAGATCTGGAGAAAAGAGCAAAGATATTGGCAGGAAGCAATTGTGCAAGGTGAAAGAACAGCCTCTAAGAAATGCCAAATGGAAGAAATGGCTAAGGGACATCAAGAAGAGATGCCATTATTTTATTTGAGGTTGCAAGCTTGATGTGCTATAACCCTTCTCCACTGCCCTCAATCATTAAATGCAAGTGGTCTGCTACACACAAATGCCTGCGTTAATGATGCTTAGGAAAAATCAAAGTATGCTCCACATTTTAATTTAGTGAAATGAAGAACAGCAGAAGGTAAGACATCAGGGTTCTGGAGGAACAGGATTTGAAGAGAAGGCAACTATGACAATATAAACTTTCAGGGAGTAGGAAAAAATTATCTTATAAATTATCATATATTATCATAAAATATATTAATATAAAAATGTATAACAGAATTGGAGAAATGTTTTTTATTTAAAGTATGTCAACATAATTTAAGTACTTTTCTATCTTCCATTCTTATAGCTACAAATAATTCCATAATAATGTGATTACAAATTTAAGTTTTTGCTTTTAGCTATCTCCTATTGTAAACCCAGGGGTCATTTCCAGGGTTTCACTATTATAGCAAATGTTGCAATCATAGACATGTGCATATCTGAAGACATCTTTGAATTTTTTCTATAAAACTATTTCTTAGAGTGGAATTAAAAAGTCTAAGAGTATGAAGGTTTTTCAAGCTTTTGATGTGTATTGATGAAATGTCCTCATAATTATATCAGCTTGCCTTTCTGCCAGCAGAGTATGAGAGCATCAAATTCCTTTAATGTAACAAATAAATATTTGACATATTAGACCTAATATTGAAGAGGGAGCTAGTGTAATTAAACAATGAGAATTTATCTCAATCTCAAAAAAGTAAGTTAATATTGATCATAGAAAGGGGTGGTAAGTACAAACATCTGACCAAGGCAGCTTCACTAAACTTTTTCTTTCCACATTCAGTATTTTAATTTAATTTTCTAGTGGACAATTTACATATCTCCCTCACCCTTTCCTTTAAGTTAGTGTGACAATTTTCCATAATAAACTACTTAAAGAAAAGCTTTGGTCAAGAATGGAATGAAATAGCCATAAAAAAAAAAAAAAATCACTGCTCCTTTTAAAAAACCAACACTTTCACCAATTTTATACTCAAACAAAACCACACACTATTTGCACGATATGTGTTTTCAATGTTTCCTTGGGGCTGGCTTTCCTCGCCATCCAATGGCAGAGCTGTGGTCAGCCACCGTTTGTCGTGCTGGATGGCAGAGGCTCACTCAGCTTCACATTATCCGGAGGCCCTGGATAGAAGACTCTAAGGTCTTGAAATCCCAAATTGTCATGGCTCCATCGATGCCAGTAGTGCAAAATTTGCGACAGTCTTGCTTGTCCACCTCATAAACAGACACTTGAGTGATGCTATTCTGGTGCAGCGTCTCCAAGGCTGTATTGCGGTCCTCGGTTGTGGCGCTCTTGTCCACGTTGCGGAAACGTTCCATGGCAGACGTGTTGCGCTGGATGCTGTTTTGGAATGTCTAACTTGGAGACAAAGGTCAAGCAGCCGCGGTCATCATAGTTAAAGAGCACTGGGCAGCAGTCATGGCCAGCAGCCACAGCCTTGTTCTCGGAGACAAACGGTACACTCAGGAGTGGCAGGAGCTCTGTTTTCAGAGTTGAGACCTGCACGCTTTTCGAGGCATCAGCAACAGATACAGTGCCGTAGTGACTGACCCAGGCCAGGCTGCTCCCACTGGCGGAGAAGCTGACCCCACGGACCCAGCCGCCTGTGCCACTGCTCCCAAATTCTGACATCAGCTGACCAAAAGGCATCTTGCTGCCCCAGGGCGTACTGGCTGGCTTTTCATCCACTTCTTTAATATAGGCAGAAAACACTCTGCATTTGGAGTCACATGATCTAACATTGCTGGGATGCCAATCCAAGCTGAGGACTGTGGGGCGAACCGGCTTTTTAATGTGCTTGCTTACCCACCAGTCATTTTCAGAGTCGAAGTAACAAACAGAAATGAGCCGTGCTCCACTTCCCACAGCAAATTTGTTCTCCAGGGGGGACCACTTCACAAAAGTGGCTGCGCGATTAATTCTCAGGATCACCAGGGTTGGCTTCCAGACACCATCTTTCTGACTCCAGACATAGGCATTGTGGTCTGCCCCACAAGTGACGATGCGGTCGCTCTTGGGAGCCCAGTCAGTACCTGTGATGTGTCCATTGTGCTCCTTGAGTTCATGAGCTTTCACCCACTGGCTCCCATTTTTCTTATAGATGTGCACTTCGTGATTATTGGGGCTAAGGGCAATTTGAGTACGATCCCTGTTCCAGGCATGACGGGTGATTGGCTCTAGTAAAAACTGATGCAGGGACATTATTCTTAGTGTTTTCAAAGAATAGAAAGGTGAGGTGGGGACAGTCTGGACGGGACCGGAGCGGAGAATTCGCGGACTCTGGTCAGTCGACGAGAACAGGCTCCGCGGGCGCGGGCCTTCCCTAAACTTTAGACAGACTTCTTCCCGAACCTAGGCTCCTGACCTCCCTTTTCTTCGAGCATTTACTTTAGAAAACTTGTAAGTGAAAATGCTTCCTCTGCCCCTTTGAGATGTAAATCTTTTAAAAAGCCTCTTGATAGTTTTACAACCCAGAACTGCTTTTCTCAAGGACTTGGGAGCCACACCCCTTGAAATGTAACCATCAAGGAAGATACTACCCCTGTCTCCCAGTCTCTGTGGGAAGGTAGGAGCCTAACTAGGAGCCTCACTCTGTGGGAGGATGGGAGCCTTGGTCCAAGTTGTAAAGCTACCTCTTGTCATGAACATATCAGAAAGTTTACTTTTCCATTGGATAAGAACAATTGGCAAACATGGGTGGCCTACAATGCCGTTACTCTGTCCTTTAAAAACTCTCCAACCCTTTGTTTCCACAGAATTGAGCTCAGACTTAGTTTTGGCCTCCCTACTCTATTGCAATAATCTTTTTTTTTTTTTTTTTTTTTTGAGACAGAGTCTCACTGTTTCCCAGGATAGAGTGCCATGTCATCAGCCTAACTCACAGCAACTTCAAACTCCTGGGCTCAAGCAATCCTCCCGCCTCAGCCTCCCAAGTCGCTGGGACTACAGGCATGAGCCACCATGCCCGGCTAATTTTTTCTGTATATTTTTGGTTGTCCAGATAATTTCTTTCTATATTTAGTAGAAATGGGGGTCTCACTCTTGCTCAGGCTGGTCTCAAACTCCTGAGCTCAAACGATCCACCCGCCTCGGCCTCCTAGAGTGCTAGGGTTGCAGGCGTGAGCCACCATGCCTGGCCCTGCAGTAATCTTGAATAAAGTCTTTCTTGCCTGCATAACTTCATCCACTGCAATTTTAGCTTTGACACTCTATAAAGCCATCCAGAAAAGCAGAATATTTGTGTGTGATATAATTGTGATTGTTAAATGCTATTGAAATAAACTAATTGGAAGTTTTTCTAAAATTCTGTTATTTCTATCACCTGCCATAAATTTACAAAGTACTCCCAAGGTTATGGCTTTTAAATTTTTTTTTACTTAGTAAATACTAAGTTATTAATACTATTGGGTCATGGACAAACATGTAATTTCTATAATTCTGTTTCCTTATTTATAAAATGGGACTTGCTAAATGGCTACTAAGATCCTCATAGATCTAAGACTCTAGGGTCTGATTCACTCTATAAAATTCCAAATTACTAAACAGACTGTTCTGCTAAATAGAGTGTGTTTCTACAACAACAACTGGGAAATAGAGGGATTATATTGGTATAATGTGGACATAATCTGGTTCATATGTGATTTATTTTATAAGCACAAAGAACCAGAAAAGTAGGATTAGAAACAGAACCTTCAGCAGAGAAGGATAAAACCCTAAGCCTACAGTTGTTCAGGCAGCAGGAACTCTTTCAGCTCCATTTTAATAAAATTATAAATAAGTCCTGCACCAGAGCATCCCTCCCCACTGAGGAGCACCCAAGCTTCATATGACTTTGCCTCAGAGCAGTTGGCCTCCCCCAGAGCCCATCTTCAAAGCAGCCTCACCGGTTTAGAGCTTTCTCCTTCCATCTACCCGCCAGCCCTATGCTAATTAAGAGTTGCTAGCATTTCTATATTTTTTCTATGTTTTTAGTATCCTTTGTGGTGGCCTCTAGCCATATGAACTGCCTACCTGAGTGGTCTGTTGTCTCCCAAGGTACCAATTACTCTTTTGGTTAGTGCTCTGATTACAAAGTTGCAATGGTGGGCATGGTCTTCCATCACCCTCACTCTGTTTTTCCCATTCAGTTCTATTAGTTCTAGTGGAAAATTTTGCAGAACATCAGTGTTTTGTTTGTCCAAAAACGCTGAACCTCTGTACTTACAACCTCTCCCAAGCTACCAAAAACTAGAAAAATATGAAAATAAGCCTCCATATATTCCTTACCTATTTATCCAAAAATTATTTAAATACCTACCATGTGCCACTATACTCTTCTCTTGTCGCACTTGAAAATACCTGAAAGTTTTGCATCTCCACTAATGGTAATGGAAATACTGTTTGTACATTCATGTTCTCCATAAAACTATTCCTTTTATGCATTAAAAACCATTCCTGAGCATAGAGAGTGTTGTTTTAAAAACTCAATTCGTTTTGCTACTTCGATAGAAACCTATCACTCAGATCGCCTCTCACTGGTGGTTCAGCATTTTCCCTCCTCACCTTCATCAGGCTCTCAGGACAGGGCTCAGCTCCGACAAGACAACCTCTATCAATTCCTACCTGGCAGCTCACTTCACAGCTGCTCTCTCTTTTACTTCCACATCCTCGGGCTTTATTTCACAGCTGTAGGTTTCACTTAATAAACTAGAGCACACTTGACTTTTCATCTTCCTGGAGCTGAATCATAACAGAGCCCCTAAAACAAAGCAAACCTGAACAAAACACACACCCCTCACTAATTTTATTATAAATCAAACATTTCCTTATCAGTTAGAGTAAAAATTACCCTCCTGATGTAGTACTTCCAAAGCTAGTATTTAAAATAGCAAAGAAAATATGGTTGTTCCACCTCATCAATTTACTTAGCCTCCCATGGTTAGCATTTGCTATGGAAAGAATTTTAGACTTTCAAATATGTTGTTTGCTTTTATAAGGACTGGTTAAGGCACAAATAATATTGAAAGATAATCAAAACCTTACCCTAATTCACAGTGAGTTGATAAAAGTGAACATGCCTTCAGAGTATGTATAAATGGAAGCACACTAATATATGCATTAATATGTACGATACTGCATATTAGAATAATAAAATCAACTTCTCTCCCTACCCCAGTGTACACACACAAAAAGGGAAGAAGTATAAATCTTTGCATTATGGACTGAATATTTGTGTTCCCCAAAAATTCATATGTTGAAACCTAACCCTCAAGGTGATGGTATTTGGAGGTGGGCCTTTGGGAGATGATTAGGTCATAAGGGCAGAGCCTGCATGAATGAGATTAGTATTCTTATAAAAGAGACCCAGGAGAGCTCAGCTGCTTCTTCCACCATGTGAGGACACAGTTTGAAGGTGCTGGAAATGAACTAGAAAGTGGGCCTTTGCCTGACACCATATTTGCCTTCATCTTGGACTTCCCAGACTACAGAACTATGAGAAATAAATTTCTGTTATTTATAAGATATCCCATCTATGGTATTTTGTTATAGTAGCCCAAGCAGACTAAGACATTTTACTTAAAAATTTTGATGATTTACAAGTAATTATTTTAAAGTTTTTCCTAGGTACTTGTGTAGCTAAGACAATAGCTTTTAAGAGGTATATGAATCAGCTGTAACTCAAGGGCACAATTCTAAAGCGGGAATTACTCAGCTACTGCATAGTAATATGAAGCACTGTATTATAGTGAGGCAGTCTTTCACTTTATATCATGGTTAGAAAAATATGTTCTTCTTCCTGAAAGTTTTAGAAATACTGTCTCAGGGAATCAAATTACATTCTTCAGAATGGTGTCATTTGTGTGTGCCTATGAATCTTCTAGATGCATGAAAGACTCCAGAGGCATGTCCTGAACCTACCCTGGTAGGGACTCCTACAGTGACCACATCGAAAGCTGCTGGCCAGGAGCTGGTGCTCCAGATGCCGTCTGCCCTTGGTCCATTCACTGAACAGGACTTTGTACTCATACAACTAGTGGCTACTACGTCTGACTTTCTGGAGCTTCACGGGATGTTATTCTAGACCACTGATTCTTCACGTTCGCTGCACAATAAAATCACCAAGACACTTTAAAACAAAATCTCAAAAGTGCAGTTTTAAAAATGACTGGCCTCACCCCAAAACAACTAACTCACAACATCTGGGAGTCAGGCAATTCTAGGTCAATTTATTCATACTTGAGTGAATAATGAACTGCCCGATAGGTATGGGAATGGGGATGGCAAGGCTGTGGGGAGTGGTAGAAAGTTGCATGGCAGGAGTCAAAAACTCCTCAGTACTTTCTTAGGAGGCTAGGCCCCACACTCAGTTGCATCAAACAGCACTCATTTACCTCATCATTCTGTAGATCAGAAGTCCAGGCACAGCATGGCTTGCTTCTCTGCTCAAGATCTCACAAGACTGAAATCAAGATATGAGCCAGCCTGCATTCCTTTCTGGTTTATGGAGTCCTCTTCCAAGTTCAGGTGGTTGTAGGAAGATTTGGTTCCTTACAGAGGTATTATAGAGGTTCCTGGTCAATTAGGGGGCATTCTCAGCTGAGAGGCACCATTCCAAGTCATGTGACCCACTGCACAACACTGAAGTTTGCTCCTTCAAGGCCAGTAGGATAATCTCTACTATCTTAAATATCTCTGACTTCTTTGGGGGCTCACCCGATTAGGTCAGGCCCACCCAGGAGAAGTTCACTTTTGATTAACTCAAAGTCAACTAATTAGGGGGCTTAATTACATTTGGAAAGTCTCTTCTGCCATATAATGTACCATGGAGTGATATCCCATCGTATTCACAAGTGCTGCTCAAACTCAAGGAGGGCAGGTCACACAGAACACGTGCACTAGGGAGCAGCAATCTTGAGAACCTTCTTAGAATTGTCAGAAGCTTTGAAGAGTTATGAACCCTCCTCTGCCTTTTTTTCCTCAACTGTAACATTAGAATAATAGCAGCATCTATTTATAGGGTTGTTTTGTGAATAAGTTAATAGATACAATATTCTTAAAGTAGATATTGGCACATAGTCATCCGCTATATAAATGTTAGCTGTTCTTTTTGCCCCAATCATTCAGGAAAGCCTGATATACCCATTCAGCCGTGTGTGGTGGTCTGGACAGGACAATAAAGAAAACGTGTGGCCAGCCCACAGTCACCTTTCCTTAGCACCCACTCAAAGAAAGCAGCATTCTGCTGAGGACGGTCTGAGAGTCACCTTTGTCCTTGTGAATGACCAGCAACAAAACTATCAGTGGTCCAAGGTATTGCTTGA